TTTCATACATGCTTAGGTAAACACACATAATTAGGATACAACAAGTGATCAACAACAACAGCAACTTTCATATGTTCTTCAACCCACTGTTCATACTGGAGTATATATATATATAAAACCATAATATAACCATTTCAGTTAAAGAAATGTTGTTTGTTCCTACTTTTAATCCAAGTCTGGATCTGCAACAGCCTATACAATAAAAAATGTTTACTAAATATATTTCTGCATTTTTTTAATATTATATATAAATCTATATTACATAGTGAAGTTAGTATATGATATAGATTTTATGAAAATATATTTATTAAACATTTTTATTCATTCTATTCCTTTCATCCATCAAGATGCTCATTATTTAAAATGTATATCTATAGACTCTAAATTAATGAAGATGAATCTAATTTCGAAAGTCAACCAAAGTTTATAGTTAAATACTTTTTCCATGTGCAGTGAGTAAAGATAATTCCTCTAATTACTTGCCTCAACACAGTCAAGTCCAAATAAAAGTTTAAATAAAAGCCCCAACAGACACTTAACCTAAACCTTTCATCACTGCACACAGCTTTGCCGCAGCTTCAATACGCATTAAAAATCCACCTCCGATAAAAGTGCAGCAGCCTACCGTAGGTTGAAGGTACTATTACATGACTCTGGTCCCCATAGCACCGCTGACATTTTTACCAGTCATTTGTGGTCAAACACAAACTACACACTATACACAAGGTTCCTACCTGGCTTGCATGTCTTTCCATCTGGTTTTAGCATGACACCAGTGGGACAGGCGCAGCTGTAGAAGGGCTGGACTGGAGACAGGAGGCAGAGATGGCTGCAGCCTCCATTATTGTTACTGCAGGGTGTCTGGACTTTAAGCACATCAAAATGTCAAAATCAGGACAAAGACAGAGGGAGGACAATTCACAAGAAGAAATGTTAGAATATTTGAAAGGAAATCTACAAGATTCTATTATGAGTGTTTTCTTAATATGGGAGAGACAATGTGTGTAGACTGTAGTTTCTGGTATTTATTTTATTACAGTATGATGACCTGAGGCATATTAGACCTGAATGAACAGAAACAGAAAGTCAACATTGACGCATGTTGAAGTCACTTACTGTCAGGTTGACGATAAGGCTCCAGAACCTGGATGTCCATGGGTGAGTAAATCCCACTGAGAATCTCTCTGGTTTTGTCTCCACTGTGTTTGTTACAAGCGTGGATGGAGCGGGTCTGCCAGTCTGTCCAGTACAGCGTCTCCTCAGACAGCGTCAGGGCGAAAGGATGGGTGAGTGTGCCTTCCACCACTGCTTCACTGCAGGACAAAATAAAAGCTGCATTTAGAACAAGAGGAACACCTGTGCTGGAGAGTCAACATGGCAACAGCATTACAGTAAGAAACGAAAAGTATAACTTATTTTGGCTAAACAGGATTGAATTATAATATCAGGGTTAGATATTGTCAATTGTTTTTTAGCTGAGACGTGTAACATTTGTCTTCAAACCGCTGTTCCCTAATTGGCCACTTGGCTCCTTCATAGGCCCCACAAATGAGTGCTTTCCAGTTTCCTAGTTTTCCAAAGCTGCTGTCTGCAATAAACATTTGCAAAAGCAGCAGGTAACAGTGCTCCAAATGACGACCGCTAATGCCAATGACATTTTCACCAAAACCCACTTTGAGCACCAATGACCATTCCTAAAGTAACGTGTTTTTGCTTACACAGAACCTCTTTGTAATTTGACCCAAAAAAAAAGCAACAAAAGTGCAGAATCCACTGCATCAGAAAAAAAACAGAATAAAACTGTGTTGAAATGTACACAGTGCGAAAGCCATATTTTGGTTAAAACCAGAAAAAAAAAATTATGTGAAACCAAGTCCAAAACCCACCTCAGCACATTCGGAGGTGGATGCAAAACACACAAAAGAAAAGAAATGGAAAATAGCAGTGAGAATCCTGCTGACTGGGCAGAACTAAAGCCCCGAAACTTAACACGGTTGATGATGATAAACCACACAGAGTAAAGAACCAAGATAAACTGAACAACAGGGGAAAATATGGAGGTGTAAAAGAGGAAGAAGAAATGGCTTCTAAAAAAGAACAGAAGTTACTGGATGACAGGATTTTGACAATTTGGCTTCAAATGACACAAAGAATCCTCCACTAGACACCAGGAACAGCTCAACAAAATTCCATGGAAATGTGACCAGTAGTTGTACGTCAACACTACAAGCAACTTTTATTAAATCTTGTTTTAAAAAAACACGTTGGAAAATCATGGAGTATCCGTGAAGGTATGTTGTTTTCTTTCCTGAAAAGCAATCAACTCCATAAGTATAATAAATGTGTCTGTCTGTGTGTGTTCATAAATTTGATCAGGCCAAGGCAACACTTCCAAAAAGAATTCAATTGCAAGAAAATGTACTTACAGAAAATGCACACAGGCACAGGATCAAAGGAGGTTTGTATTTAGAATATCAACAGCTGAGAGTGTCTTTCATCAATCATCACATTTTCTTCTGTGGATGTGTGAGTGTGTGAGTGTGTGAGCTGTAAAAGCAGAGCCGTCTGCCAGCAGTGGTTCAAGGAAGAAAAAGAAAGAATTTAACCAAATCCAGATCTCAAAGCTCGTGTCAGCTTTTGTGATTTCACATGTGTGTGCAGAAGTGTATTAGCGAGCAGGCAAATTATTTCATCAGGTTTGTTTAATATTAAATTTCATTTTCATTTAATTAGGGTTTTTAAGTATACCACAACAGAACATTTTTATATTTTTAAAAAATATTTTGTTCTCTAAGTGACACCACTATCACAAACATTAAATACGTTAGTACAGGCCTATCCTGTTCAACTAAGAGCAGTATAGAAAAATAAAGAATTCATTTGGATTAAAATGATTTAACTAAACCAAAAAGACACAAATTCAATAAACAGCAGTTCAAACCAATTCTGGAACCACACACCTACACAAACATTTTTTACAAACAATCAGATTGCAGTAGATAGCGAGTACCACTATTGATGGTGCATACTGCAGTTTGAGAACCACTAGTACAAATAATTTCATGGTTTCCCCATTTGCTGTAATTTTTACAACTGAGACCAACACGGTTAAAGCGGGAACACATTTTCAGGATCAGTAAATTCAGGGAAATGTTTTAGTCGAACAGTTCACTTCCATTAATATTTACTTATTTTTGCAGAAACGTATCTGGTAATCACGAAGCAATCGTGAAAAGTGAAGGAATTGGAAGAGTAAAGATTCAACATGGAAAATGCTCAAATGTTTGACTGTGTCTGCACTCAGTAATGATCAGTCACAGCTTGTTATGTTCAGGTTTCTGGTAGTTCAGGGATTTTTTTTCCTTTCTTTTTTCGCTTGTCTGTTTTAAAATAAGCACTGAGGAATTGACGGTGCAAGGCTAGATGGATGAAGAGATCTGGAGGAGGAACATGAGTCCAGCCAAGGAGAGATTGAGCTGCAGGAGATGCTTTGCAAGTGTGTGTGAAGCTATGTATGTTTTGACTGGGGCCTCCATACCACAGTTCTGTTTGTGTTGGACAAACCCTCCACACTCTTGCTTTTCTGTTGCTATCTTTTCATTTTGTCTGTACGGCTATTTTTCTCCACCTCTCCTCCATTTTTGTCCTCTGTTAGGGAGAATATACTCTGAGTGAACAACCTTCACTGTGTGGGAGTGACAGCAGCTACATTTGTAGCTCTTTATTTACATTAATAAAACCATGTGGGGCTGTACATGTGCGTTGAATGATAATTAAATCCAATTCACAGCTCATAAGACATTTAACCTTTATCTGCAGCGCCCCCTTTTGTAGATATGAATTTTGCTGAAATCCAGCTTCAACACATTCACGACTAAAATCTCAAAATTAAAAAAAACCCAAATTCCTACAAAACAGCTCATTTCAATGAAACGAGGAAAAAAAGCAACACTAACACTAACCCTTCCGTAGTGCTGCAGTGGTCATGCCTGCCTTACACATCTGCCTTACACACAAAAGGTCCTGGGTTCAATCCTCAGAGGAACCACATACTTGGTGTCTCCAAGGTATTAACACATCAATTTATTGTTCCATAGTGTAACAGTTAGCACGCCTGCCTAGCAAGCAAAGAGTCCTAGGTTCGATTCCCAAAGGAACCACATACTTGGCGGCCCTAAGGGGCGGTCTGTCCCAGCAGATCTGGTGTTAACACAACAATTTCCCCAGTGTGTGATCAATAAAGATCATGAAAAATAATTAAATAACAACAAATCAGTGCATTTTCCCCACAAAAATAAAGCAAATATTTAAATTGAAATTGATGTGCCTTGACTGCACCTCTGGTGAGAGCTCACCCCCCAATTTGGGAACCAATGGCAAAACAAAATATAGAACACATTCTACAATCTCATCCATACCGTGCTGCACCGTCCAAGTGAGCTCTGTGAATGAAGCTGAGTTTAGCATCTGCCCAGTAGAGCTTGTTCTCCAGCAGGTCAATGGTAAGACCGTTGGGCCAGTAAATATCTGTTTTCACAATCACTTTCCTGTAAGAGAGAGACATTTTTTCTTAACACAATGTCTGGTAAAACAAGAAGGACATTTCTGTCTTCTCGCCTTAAACCAAACTCAGCCTGTAAATTGTACTTTAATCACTCCAGGGTAATCTTGTTACAGTGTTACTCTACCTGTTGCTGCCATCCATGCCAGCTCGCTCTATCCTGGGCTCCTCTCCCCAGTCAGTCCAGTACATGTAGCTTGATTAAAAAAAGAAACAGAGAAAACATGTCAAGAACAAAGGAGTAGAATGAGTTGAATATAAATAGACTATGTTATATTTAACAAGAATGACTACGCCTAAATGAGTGAGTTTACCTACAGTCTGAGAACAGACAGACAGACAGACAGGCATGAATTCTTTTGGACACCAACGCAGAAACAACAATTACAGAGCAGCAAACTAGAAAGACGTCTGACTGAGAATGTAAAAGAAGAACAAGAACAGGAAGTAGAAGAAGAAGAGAGAGAATTTAAGAACATTACTGCTTGTAATATTAACTCGTCAAGACCCACATGTCAAAGCAACAGGTTGGAGCTTGTAGACCTCGTTTGGGATAATCCCTGAGAATTTTTTCTTCACACTTTGTGTCACCAACAAATATGCAGCATTGTGTGATTGATCCTCAGGACACTTCTGAGTTGACTGTACCTGTCTGAAGTGATTAGGTGTCAGGCACTGGCACAAAAATATAAGTATCTGTTACTAGGGTTTTGTTTTTGTTTTTTAGTTCAGGTTGATTAGAAATCCCAGGGAATCTTAAATATAAACTAATTTGGCTGGTGTAAATATATATAAGTATTTCTCTGTTTGGCCAACCTGGTGGTTCCTCAGGCTGTGGGCTGCCCTGCACCCACTGAACATCACGTACACAGACCCGCCCTGTGGTTATTGTAATCTATATAAATGTTAGCTGTTAGTTATTTGGTCTCACCAAAACTTCTGTGCTTCAGCACAGTAGAAGACATGTTTGAATAAAAGCAGCAAAGAGACAATAATCTGATGGAGCAGGAGTGAAGAGATCAGTGAGTTTCTAGATTATGTAAACCTGATATGTTTAACTATGTGGAGGTGATCCTGTGGGAAACTCCTGTACCCTGAAGGCTTTTCCACACTTCACATTGAAAACATTTATTTAGTAGACCTTGTGGATTTGACTGGCCTTTATCCATTAAACACTGAGGCACAATCAAGTCATTTATAATAAAAAACAAACAAACATGTATTATATGGACCGAATCGAAAGAGACAAACGACCTCCAGCGACCTGTCTCATCATGTGACATTCGGTTATCATTTGTCTTTTGTATTACCCAAGTTCAAGTATGAAGTGGGATTTTATAAAGCTGGTCAATACAGCCAACGAGCAGCTAATGATTTATTAGCATATCTCTTATTAGCTCTAAGAATCTGCTTCTGCTCAACCTGATCTATGAAAACACCCTGGTTTAATTAAGACATTTGATTGCTGTGTAAACGACCGTGGCGGTATTAGTATTTCTACAGCGTGTCTGACCACAGCTGAGCAGCAGAACCAAATGTACAACATTAATATAAAGGCATGTCTTT